ACTGCTTTGGAATGTGCATTGCATTGCAACTGTAGCGCTACCAAAACAGTTAAATTTTAAAAGCGCGGTTGTAAGATCTAACAGATCTTCTTGTTTTGTATTTGAAACTTGCTGCCAGTTATATTCAAGAATCATGAAAGAGAGGCTAAGGACAACCCTACCTCTCATATAATCGCAAACACTACGCCAGTTTCCTTCACTTAAGTCAGGAGTAGTTTTTTTTTCCGTTGCTTTATTTGGGTGATTGTTCTGGGCACGTTACCCTATACTGTCAATCATATCCCTCAATCCTACTATTGCGTCAGATCTATTGACCTTGGAATTAAGCCCGTAATGGCGGCACCACAAATCACCCAAAGCACAGCAGATTAACTATTAATGAAAATGTTTTACACTTTTGATTACTGAACAGGTTAGGAAAATTTTTTTGCTTTCTATTATGACAGAAATATCTGGGCTTCAACCTTCCTTTCCTTTATGAAATGGGTAAATGTAAGAAGTAAACCCAGCGGAAATCAATTTCGGTTCAAGTTAGCACCAGATTCGAGTTACCAAAGGGCTCGCGTTATCAGACGTGAACTGTATATTCTAACGGCGAGTAAAAGCCACTGACTTATTTTGCACGCTCTGCAATCGCCCGTCATGATACCACAACAAAATGAAATCGAACAATGCGAAAGTACTTTTTTACTTTTTTTTATTACTTCGTTTAATCGGTCAAAAATATAGATTTTAGGAAACGCAATAAACGTTAACAATACCATGCAATTAATGAAGAAGTTTCAATAATTTCAGAGTGAGTTGTGACCATAAAGAGGATTGTACAAGTAAGTCTGTATCGATCATCTCATGGAGCGTCTCGATCATATCATCTCCTCGGGCTCGCATTTTTTTGCATTATTATGTTTAGAAAGTCTTGGAATCGGTTTTCTTTTTACTAAACACCATTTACGACCACTTACATGAGCTATAAAATAGGTACGAACGAGCGAAACGAGTCAAAATCTGAAAGAGGGGAAAGCGACCCATAATAGCTGTTAGACGGGAGCGTGTGGTTTTGCCTATCACGATTTTCATGAGTGAGAGCGTTTACTCAACGAAACTACCACCACTACGCAAAACTCAAGGCTGAAATTGCTACAAAAATTACCAGAAAAGGCAGCGGAGAAATTAGCACCAACTCCTGAGGTAGTCTCGGTTCCTCAAACAATTGGCCACCGATGCCACATTTCATTTGCGCCAAAATTGAAATCGACAGCACATCTGGTCAAACGTTCGATTGAAAATCATCGAAGTCGTGATCTCGGCTTTTCAAACACTGAGGCCCAGTTCAGACGTCGTGCTTCTGCCGTGCCAAACTAAATTGCAATTTGGTTCGACTGTAGCACGGCAGGAAATCAACTCTGATTCAGACGTCGTGCCAGAGTCGAATCAATTCAGGGTTTACTGAAACCTCGTAACAATTCTCCTCCTAACTCCCGTCAGGGAACGCAATCTCGCCAAAAGACATTAACATAATTTATGAATTTAGTTTGGCGCGACAGAAGCACGACATTTGAATCACTGTCGTGCCACAGTCGTGTAGCACGGCAGAGCTTGTCGAACTTAATTGCTTGCCGAGCTTAATTCAAAAGTTTG